GAAAGTCTTTTTGGCCCCTGAAAGATTCAGTTTTTTCTAAAATTAAAATCAGAAGTAATATTTTTACGTTTTATTTTATAAACCAGCGCCCAAAACCCGCTTCGCGGGCCTTGGGCGCTGGAATGCCGCCTTTCCATGAGAAATTTGACTTTGATGGCTTGGGTCCTTCGGACCGCCTTCCCCACCAACCACACACGCGAGTGCAACTGGCAAGAATGAGGAAATTTGTGGTTTTCCGCATTATGCTAATTAGCCTTCCCGGACCCACAAAATGAATAAAACTGGCTTTAACTTTGTAAACTTGTAATTTATCGGGATTCTGAAAACGTAATTGGAAAGAGGAAGGTCGATTACCCCAAGTGACGGAGAATTGGGGCCTTTTGGACACGGGAAGGCCCTCAAATCGGGCCTTGAAACTGACCTCCGCACACACACGCAGACAAAGATACGCGACCAAATTATATAAGGCAGGATATTTTTTAGTCCAACAACCTGCAAACACCGGACCAAGAATTATGCGCAGGATAATCAACGGCGCTACCCCATCAACTTCAGCGCCGGTCTCGGGTTAGGTTTTAGCTATTTAATTTTAACAGCTACTTAAATTTGATGCTAGTATAACTATATCATCATCAAAGCCTTCCATTTAATTTATTTTAATTTCATTAAATCGTTGTAAATTATTTATCATTCAGTCTTTTTAGCTCCGTCGGCCGCCAGCCAGGCCCCCATCATGATGCGTAGAATGATTCAACCCACCGCAACTTCATCCACTTCGGTGCCGCCCATCCCGAAAATGTCGCCCGTTTTGGGTTGGTTTTTTAAAAATAAAAATGTCTTTTCGGATTAAATTTGTTTTCGTCAATTTTTAAATTTTTAGCTTTAAAAGGTTTTTGTTTTTCTTTCAGAATTAAGCGTTTAAAAAAATTTTTAGCACGATCAGCCCAGAGGGTAATTCTTAACGACTCGATGCGCCGAATAACTCAAGAGCGACTAATTCGTTCGACTTCCAAGCCGGACTCGCCGGAAAAGCCGCCGGGCATAGGTGGGGGTTATTTTAAGCTGTATTATCTTTAAAACGGATTTCAAAATTATCTCTGGTTTAAAATAAACTTTAAAATACAGCTTAAAATCCCAATTTTTAGGTCCGCAAGCTACGACTGCAGCTCCCACCATGATGCGTCGAATCACTCAAGAAACTCCTGCTCGACCCCAGGCCAAACCGAACACACCGGAAAAGCCGCCAGTTATTGGTGGGTTTTTAGACATCATCTGGTCGAAACTCAGGTTGGTTGCCTGGTTTCCCGTGGATCTCAAGACGTTCAGCTCCGTTTAATACTTACAAACAAATGCTTCGCGTGATTCCTATAGACATGCGTTTTGTAAAATTTAAAAAGAGGACCTCTTTAAAAATTAGCATTTAAACTTGTAGTTTCAAAAGTTCAGCTGAAAAGACGTAAAAGTTTAATGGACCAATTTAAAATCGAAATCCGTTTTTATTAATTTTAAAAACAAAATTAGATTTTTTTTAATGTTTTGGGAGAACCCGGGGGATTCGATGACGACATGTAAGTCCTATAAACACCCGATTTGCCAGCGGTAAAAACCGTACTCCGAGTTGTTATAACACCGGTTAAAGCGATGCGAAGCGCCCATTTGCAGCAAAGCGCCTCGATGTAATCAACGCTCAGAAGATGAAGATAAAAAACAAGCCAAAAACGTTCACCTGGACCCGCGAGCGCCTCGCCCTCACCTTGCCGAACGTGGAGGCCGCCCTAAAATGGGCCATATCCGCCGGGCTGCTCCCCGCCAAGAAGCTGTGCTCGAGCTGCGGGCGCGAAATGGCGTTCTGGCGGCGCGGGGCGCACAGTTCCTGGGGCGCCTTCATTTGCAAGAACAAGAAGTGCCCCAACGTCCTCAAGCAGTTCACCCAGTCGCACGGCACGTGGTTCCAGCACGCTCGGCTATCCATCCCGCGCAACATGTCGTTCGTCTACTCGTTTGTGCGGGGTGAACCTATCGAGGAGGCCGGGGAAGAAGCTTTGGCCAAGGATAACCTAGGCGCCCGCTCGAGCCGGGAGACGATCGGCGAGTTCTACGCGTACTGCCGCCGGATTGTGGTGCAGCGATTTATAGCGAGAAGCGAGGAAAAGCGGAAACTTGCCGGCGTCGTCGGAATTCAGGAGCTGACGTTTGTACCCAAAAAAGTTCATCCTCACCTCGTGGGAGATTGGGTACTTGCGATAATCGAGGAGGACTCGGAAGAGCTCAGGCTCGTAGTTTGCCCGTACGATGAGCAGCATGTGGAGGGCACGAGAAGCTCAGAAGACCTGCTTCCGCTTCTCGAAAAGTATATCCAGCCCGGAACTACCGTAAAAACCGGAGGTTGGCCAGCCTATTCGGCCCTCACGGAGTCTGGATATACCCACGCGATTGTGAATCGACACTCCGTGAACCCGAGGTCGATTCTGACGAATTGGGGCCCGCTGTTCAACTACATCAACGAGTGCCACAGCGTCAACGCCAACAAGGTCCAGCTGGCGCACGAAGCCGCTTGGCGCCGCGAATGTGCCTTGAATGATATTGACCCGTTTGATGATATTCTGGCCATGTTCCGAGAGTTTTATAGCTGAAGTTGTTGAATAAAGTTGTTGTACGGTTTTTTAACTTTTATGGGACACTAGAAGGGAGAAAATTCGAGAATACAGCTTACAAAAGTTTAGTTTTTTAAGAAGTTCGCAAGGCAACTTCAGCCATGAAAAACGTAAAAATAAGTTAAAATGTTACAAAATTCTTACCTCGAGATGAAGGTCTTGAGAAACTCGGCGCTTCTGCTTTTATGTTTTCGGAACGTTCACGAATATTTTATTTTAGAGACCCCTACCACCTCCACTGCTCCAGCTACATCGTCAGCGACCCAGAAGCCGGTCTTGCCTCTGAAACAGGATCAAATCAACGGTTCCGCGAATGAGAAACCAGGTTTCTTTTGGATTGCAACCTCGAGAATGGGGCTTTTGGATTTGCCTCTCTCGGAATCTCGAAAATCAGAATATCGTGTTTTCAGAATAGAAATTAGCACAATATCGAAATTATTGCGCCAAGTATCTCATAACAGTCCTTCCCCGTCAAATACTTGGATTGCAGAGACACTTTTTTGCAAAAAAAATTATAAACAGCAATTTTTACTGGGCTGTTTGCAGAGGGAAACCAATTTTTTCCCAATAGCACCGTCTTGGTATTGTCGTGTTGTAGTATAATTTTAATTTTAGGTTAATTTAATCAGTATACTAAGAATTAAAAATATTAAAAACTTTCGAAAACTGAAGGAGTCCAAAAAAATCTCGTGGTTAGAGGCCTAGGAGAGAAATGAGAGGTGAGCTCATGGGTCAGGATCAACCGATGCTCACTGGTTGTTAAAGCGAAAATACTTTCATTTTTAATCTAATATGGGGATCTGGGACTTGCATCAAAGATATGCGTTATTCTTGCATTTACGAGCCGATTTTGCATAAAATTCGCTGAAAAGAGCCATTTTCTTGATGGAGCTTTTCGAAAACGATTGCGTATGAAAAATAAAAAGAGTGTTAAAACAAATGTTTTATCGATCCAAATCACGTCTTATTGTAAATTTTGGCAATTTGAGCTTCGTCGGCCCGAAAACCGGGTTCGACGAGCTCGAAAACAGTGTCGAAGTTTAGATTTGGGCTTATGTTGGCACGTACGCTGAAGTTTAAGCCAAGCTCAAGCGTTCAACGATAGTTTCCGCCATGAGGCCTGGTATTCATCGTTCTTGCTGATTATTTTCTCGCTACATGAGCAATCGTTTTCCAAAAGCTCCATCAAGTAAATGGCACTTTTCAGCGAATTTTATGCAAAATCGGCTCGTAAATGCAAGAATAGCGCATATTTTTGATGCAAATCGCAGCAATCCCCATATTAAATTAAAAATGAAAAGTATTTTCGCTATAACTTTAAAACCAGTGGGTCGATCGGGCTGAAACTTTCCTTGTTCATAGAAAATTGGCTTCGCTACCTCTGTGCAAATTTTCAGCTCCGTAGGTGCCCTCTGGCTCAAATTTTTGGGGGGGTCTTTTTTTTTGGGACACCCTGTACACTTGTCATTAGTAACAGGTGGAAAATAAAAATTGGCTCCCCTCCGTTAAAGGAGAAGAACCGGAACCGTCGCTCGGCCCAATAAAAAACAATACCAAAACTATTTCCGACGTTTCCAGCCGGTTTGTTGCAACTCGACAACACTCAACCTCTGAAATGGAGCCGGCGACGCCTCACACACGAAATGCCCGACGAAGCGGAAGCCGTCAAATGGGCCACGCAGAACGGGCTGCTTCCGGCAGGCAAACGGTGCCCCAACTGTAACTGGGAGATGATACTCAAGACACGAGGCAAGGTGGGCATCTACGGCGCCTTTGTCTGCAAGAGGCGAAACTGCCGCGTGCGTGACAAAGAATATTCCCGAATTAAAGGAACGTGGTTTTCGGCGACGAATCTGTCGATTATCCGAAGTATCTCTATCGCATACTCGTTCGCTAATTGTGAAACGTACGAGATGGCTATACAAGAAGCCCTTGGCGACGATTATTTCGTTGGAAAATCCACGTCCAAGACGCCCCGGCAGACGATAAGCGATTTATACCGGTTTTGCCGAGAAATACTCGTTGATGTCGTCCCGGCGAGATTGGAAAACGAGCGCCAAGAGCCGAGTGAGGATGAGCATGAGCTTGGCGGACCCGGAAAGTCGATAAAAATCCACCAGGCTGAATCGAACGGTGAGCGCCAAGAGCCGACCGAGAATCAGCCATTGCTTGGCGGACCGGAAAAGACGGTGCTGCTTTATCAGGCTCAATTCGTAAACCGAAAATTTTATCGAGGGCATTTTTCGAGTATCGCTGGGCATTGGTCCCTCGCCATTGTCGGTGAGAGCACCGACGAATTTATGTCGTAACGTGCCCATCGGCTGAAGACATGATCCCATCGATTCAACAGCTCGTGCTCCCCGGAACTACGATCAAGACCGACGCCTGGAGCGCGTATTCCCGCCTTCCGGAATATGGATATTTCCATGAAGTCGTAGACGATATCGAGCCGCTTGGACGAACTGCCTATGCGGATGGAGCTCAGCAACTTGACGAAGCCACTTGGGAAGCTCATTTCCGGGGCCGGCGAGTCCCCGATGACACTTTCGCAGACGCGCTGGTGGAGGCTTCCTGGCGCCGCGAATGTCGCTCGAAAAGCATTGACCCGTTTGAGGATCTTTTGTCCATGATCAAAGAGGCGTATAAATTCGAGTAAATTTAGATAGTTTGTATTGTTATTAATATTTTTGTTATTAAATGAGTTTTATCGCACAATAAATTGCTTAAGATTGCTGTTTGCGATTTTGTAAAACGCACTGGAATCCAAGCATTTAACGATCGAACAAACAATCGTTTGAGATACTTAATAGGATGACGGGGCCGACATCGGAAATTATGAATACTGAAAATTCGGTAATTTTTAAAACTGGAGGTTCTTTCACCTTATCAGGGGGACAGAATTAAATCTTTTGTGTATGACTAGAAATAGCAACTTGATAGCGAAATTTTAATAGTTTTTTTTTTGCTAAATGTACCTAGGATTAAAGTGGAAAAATGCCCGGAAACTTTTTGGAAAACACTAACTTTTGGCAAAAAGAAGATTATGGAACTGTGAGATTCTGATTTTTGAGATTGTGGTAAGAAATTAATTTTAGTATTGCATTAAGTGTAATCAAAAAAATCCGTTTTAGATAACCATGTGCTCGGGCAGAAATTCTGGAATCTGTCAAATGGTAGGCGCGCCTTTTTAGGCATTACTCGATTTTTTTTCTTTGCAGCCAGGACGCGCCAACAGCATCGGGAGTGGTACTTCGACCCGGATGTGGCTGAAGAGTTGAAGGCTCGGGAAGAGCTGGAGCGACTAACAAGAGCGGCAGCCGAGAGTCGTCCGGCTGTTATTTATATGGGTATGATTCTTTCGATTTGATTCTTCTTTCGCGTTATCGGGGGGGCAGGGTCCTGATTTTTTTATGCGTCTAGTAATGCCTAGTAACTTTTCAGTAAGTTTTTAATGGAGTTTTTAGAAAAATTTAGCTATATTGCAAGTAAAATTCACCGTTTTAACGTATTTTGGTGTACAATAGCTCGTGCTCCGGACTTTATAAAGACGTTTTCGTCAATTTAGTAGCCAAGTGTCTGGGATTGAATTAACAAAAGCTGATTAAAAGAGATCCCCAAATTTATAAATCTTTTCAGGACCCGTTTCTGCTAGCCTTCGGCGGATGCCCAAGGAACTAGAGATCAAACTCAAAGCTGAAGGCGGTAAGTTTTGATTTTAAAGGGGCGGTGACACCGCTGTATTTTATCCATTTTTCGGTGCGACTTAAAAAATACTTTGTTTAGAAGCCACGGTCGCCACCGAAAGCGGCGCGTCCGACATGCCAGACCAAAGCCAACGAGCCGGGTCAGCGGAACCGGAAAAGACGGTAATAATTTTTTAGTTTTTTAGCTTTTTGAGTAAATCACCGTAATTTTTTTAGAAAGCTTCTTCCTCGTCGGAGTCGATGCCGTTTCCGGAAAACGATGGGACGACTTTTCAAGGTATCTATTTAGCTTTAACCTGAAGTCCTAAATTTCAGGCTCTAACTACGGCACATTCCCAGAACCGACAGTGTTGGCAAAGAAGCCGAAAACTGGTGAGTTTTAATTTTTCATTTCCTTGATTTTTAAAATACTTAATGTATTTTTATTTTTTGAAAATTGTTTTTAATGATAAATATTTTCAACATTTAAAAAATAATTTTTTTAACCGAGAACAACCTAATCCAGGTTAATGTCAATTTTCAGCATTCCCGCCCTTGGCACAAAACGGAACGAGCCTAATGACGCCCGACGAGATGCGGAGGATGATCCACTGGAACTATACGCCAGCTGAGAAACAAGTATGGGTACGGGAGGAGCACGAGGAGGGGATGGAAGGTATTTGATTTTTTGGAAAAGGTGAACAGACGTTTTAGAAGCTGAATCAGCTGATGGAGGGTCGGGACCGGAAACGCGGAAAATAGCTAGCGAGCCGGTGCCTGAGCAAAAGCCGGAGAAAGGTATTTCTTTAGCTGATTTTGGAGATTTGTGTAATGATTTTCCGCTAAGTTTCTAATGACGCTTTTTCAGCGTCATCTTCTGAAACTCGAAGCCCTCAAGTTGTAAGACGGACTATGGTTTTGCGAAAAGTATCTAAAGAAGCTCCTGCCGTGATAACAACCACAAAGCCGGAACCGATTGAAGGTAATTTTTTGGTTCTGGGCTTTTAGCGGGGGGGGATTTCTAGCAAGGGGAAACTCGCTTATATTAAATGTCAAAATTCTGAAATTTCGTAATTATGAAATTTCGACTTTGAGAAATTTTGGCATTCTGGAATTCGACCTTGTGAAATTTCGCGATTTCGTTATTTTGACGATTACGACGCGAGCTACAAGGTGAGGCAGATATATCGCTACACTTCCCGGGTCCTTCAAAAAAATAAAAGTTTGGTTGGGGCCTTCGTATTGTCGAAATATACACACTGGAACCCTTTCCACACTTTAAAATTTTAGAACGCAGCGACCCTATAAACGGTATTTTTCGAGGAAAAACTTTGCGACGTAGGGGTGGGCCTGGCACGTCACAACTTGGAGCACGACCTCAGCAGGCTTCAAACAAAGGTAAGGGCAGCAATTCATTTATTTTCAATAGGAAAAACATTTCAGATTTGGTCTCGGCTGGGGGCAGAACTCTGAAGAAGCGCTACCCAGATCCTGGGTCCTAGGAGAAGCCTGCTAACACAACAGTTTTTTCGACAAAATTGCTGAATTTCAGTGTGCGATAAATCAAATTCAAAATGTGCTAGAGAAAGAAACAATAAGAAATAAATAAAAAATACAACAAACAAAGGCGAGTGGACGATAGAGAGGGTGATAGAAACAAAAAGAACGAACGAACGAAGCGAAAAGAAATAAAATATCCTGCGTTTTATATGCCTCACTCTGTTTGTATTTAATTAATTTTAGTTAATGTAAAATTTTAAAATATTTTAATTAATCTAAATTATTTGAAGGATCTTCTCTGTGAACGGGGGGGGGGGGGACCTAGTTGTTCGTAATAAATAGTTTATCATAAAAAAATTAAGAATTTTGGAATTTAAAAATTTTGGCCCTTTTTCGCCCATATTTGAAAAAATTTATGATTTGTTATGATCTTTTTGGTCTCTAAAACTGCGTAAACTACTATATAAATAATTTCCTTTTCGTAAAGGAAGGCCGTACGGAACTACTGGGGAAAAATGTGTTCCCTTCCCCCGTTAACAGAGAAGAACCGATTCAAGAAATCTATTATAGTAGCAGAAGATCAGCAATCCTCCACATGCCGTGTCGTGTCGCCGGCTTCGTCGGCCGAAAAATCCACCTCACCACCGGGGCTGACGAGCTCAGGCCTGGATTTCGGCCCGTATTTCGCGAAAGGTATCGATTTTTAACTATTTTAATTTTTTCAATAGCTGCCATAATACGAAAACATTGGTTAATTTTAAAAATTTTTTTTTAGTGGCTGAAGCGATACCGCCCGTTCAGCTTCAACCAAACGGGCCACTGATCGGGCAGGAGCGGTGGTGGAGTAAGTGTTTTTTGTGGGTACTTTAAGAATGTCGAAAATCACAATGTCTAAATTTCATAATGCCGACATTGAACAATGTCGAAAACTCATAATTTCGAAATTTGCATATGCAAATCTCCCGCGAAACCGCGAATCCGATGCAAAACGTTTCGACATATTGACATTTCGACATCCCGTAATTTCGATATTCTGAAATTTCGACATTATGAATTTCAACATTAAGATTTTCGACATTTTGAATGAAACCCGTATTTTTGGGGTATTTTAAGCTTTTTTCCCCCCCCCCTTTTTTTTTTTTTTTTTTTTTTTTTTTTTTTTTTTTTTCTTTTTTTTTTTTTTTTTTTTTTTTTTTTTTTTTTTTACTATCGACAATTGAGAATGTAGAAATTTGACAAAGACGAAAATTCATAATTTCGAAATTTACACGTTTCAATTTTCGACATGCCGAATTTCTATATTATGAAGTTTCGACATGACGAATTTCGACATTATAAAAGTTTGACATTCCGAAATTTCCATATTTTGTTAGCAAATCGTTTTATTTAGTTTTATTTTCTCAATGTTCTTTTTAATGTAACCCTTAAAGTTGCAATCGAAAGGACCTGATTTCTTTAATTTAGTCAAACACTTCCCGGCCCCGTTTTCGAACACGCTGTTCGACGCTGAATCGCCCTGCTCACCGGAAGCGCCGGCAGAAGGTATTGCTTTTTTCTTCTAACTTTTTCTAACTTTCGTTTTTCTAAGAATTTTTTTTCCTAGAATTTCTGTTTCCAGCCGCGCCCCGCGCCGCCGACGTCGAGGACCCGATTCTGACGCTGGGCGAAAAGTTACGAGCCGATTACCCGGAAGTGACGTTCAACGAACCGAAATCCACATATCTGACGTGAGTTTTATAGCTATTTTATATTGGTTCTTTCGCATTATCGGGGGGACAGACTTTTTTCTTATCATCGAATTCCTAATAGCAATAGGGGAAGTGCTTCTTTTTACCATTCGCAAACCTTCGAGCTTTTCAAATTTTGGTTTAAAATACAAAAGAATATGGGGTTTTTTGAGCCAAAAATAGCCGATTTTGGACCAAAATTTCGATTTAAAAAAATTTCTAGATTTTTAGATGGTTGTCGTAGTTGAAAATAGTTATATTTTCCTAAAACGTTATTAAAACTTTTACATTTACGTTACTAGGAAATCCCGGACTTATAGGAAAACGGTGCCCCCCGGATATTGCTAAAGAGCCTTTTTATCTTTTATTTTCCGCCTTTCAGTCGCTTTCCGCCCAAATTGCGCCGCGAGTTCCTGTTCCGCGTCGGATATTTCCAGCCGAGGTTTCCGCTATATTACGACGGCGAGAAACGGAAGGAGTGGTACGAGATGAGATTGTGAGTGAATTCATATAAAACAATTAAAATAATTTTGTTTTCAGTCGATATGCCTTAACAGCGCCGCAAGAAGCAGAACTGGACGCTAGGCTGGTGGAAGCCGACCACCAAAGGAAAATCAAGGCCGAGCTGAAGAGGCAGCGAAAGTAGGCTATGGCGCTTTAATCTTTAATAATATTTATTAGAGGCTCTTTCGCGTTATCGGGGGGAGCGGAAACTGAATTTTCTCTAGGTTCCTATTGTTCTAATATAAATGCAATAAGTGTTCCGAAACTGTTTTTTAGTAGTCCTAAATGTAACAACTTTACAAATTTTAATCAAAAAAGCCAAAAACTCCAATAACTTGATAGGAACTATTATTGTAATGTTTCTAGTTAAATATAACTATAATTCGAGAAGAACTCTAAAAACGTCAACAAAATTTTGAAAAGGTCGAAATTTTGACTATCGATCGTCCATTTTTGGTATAAAAATCTAATCTTTCGTATTTTTAATGAAAATTTGTACAGTTTTCACGTTTAGGAATAGTAAAAAAAGCAGTTTAGAAACAGTCACTATATTTATATTAGAGCAATTGGACCTCTCCCCCCCCCCGATAATGCGACAGAACTCTCTTAGGTTGGCCCGAGGTCGGCGACGCTACTGGCGCAGGAAAAGTGACCCGGTGGAACACGAAGCCTATTTGAAGCGGAAAAGGGCGAGGTATGAGCTGAAGAAGTGGGTTCTAGGTGCTTTCGCATTATCGGGGGGGGGATGATTCTTTTCTTTCGGAGTTAGAGACCAATTTTTTAAAAATAAAGAGCGGAAAATTTCTAAACTACTTTTACTATTCCTAAACGTAAAAACTTTTCAATTTTTTGATCAAGATTTCGATTTCCTTGACATTTTTTTATAGTCTTTTTTTAGTTTTTCTATTTAAAATCTACTTTTATTTTGCGAAAAACGTTATGAAAATACGTTCTATGAAGTCACTAGGCATTTCTAGATTCATACAAAAATCCCCCCCCCCGATAATGCGAAAGTGTCGCGTTCTAAAGTTTTTACGTTACTTCCGGATACCTGTAATAACAGTGCTTTATTTTTTCTAGGCGACGCGAGCAAGCGAAGAAAAAGGCTCAAAAACCGGCCGGACTGGGGGAAGAAGGAGAACCTGAGGAGAAAGAGGTGGAAATGAGTGAAACAGATGAGCACGAGCCAGAAGAAGATGAACCCGACGAGGAAGAGGTCGAAAGAGTGAAACCGATGAGCATGAGCCAGAAGAAGACGAGGAAGAGCTTGGCGATGAAGACTGGACGCCCTTCCTATAATTGTTGTTGAAACGCGGTTTCATTATTTTTAGCCAGTTCCGATTTTAGCAACTTGATGGCTCTCGAACTTGCATGATTTGTTAATTGTTACCTTGTTATTTTACTGCCATCATTGGCATTACGTTGTTGATAAAAATTTTGAACCAACAATAGATTCGGACGCTTGAATTTGTGCTTATGACTTCATGGAATATTTTTAAGGCATTCGGAAGACAGCTGTTTTGCTCGGTTTCTCGTATCACGGTAATACCGTTAGGCTAGGTTGTGAAAAAATATATAGGAAAGTAAGGAAGTAATAGCAAAAATATACAGACGAAAAGTTTGAATCCGAATTTCGCATTTCAAGTTGAAAACGTTTTAGAGCTTTTTTAAGAGATTCTGAAGTCATCTACTTGGCCAGCTTACTAAAAAAGTTTTCTTTTGTAATTGTGTTAAATTAGAGATACTTTAAGGTATAATAAAGTCGCAAAATCGCCAATCTTAAAAACATATGTTGTAGTTTAGTTATGATTTTTTTTTGAAAATTTCATAGAGGTTGAAGTTACCTGCTTTCTCAGTTTTTTGTGTAACTTCGTAAATTAGGGATATTTCAGGTATATTAACAAAGTTGTAGCCATCTCGCTGGACACCAAAAACATCTGGTGTAGTTTTGTGTCTTGTAGTTTGGGGCCGGCCGGGCGGTCGATTGGACGGGCGCCATTTTCTAGGCTACAAATTCCCTGGCCAGGGACTCTTGATAAGAATTTGTCGTTTTAGGGCAACGATACATTTTTTGTGTTTTACCGCTTTTTCGCAAACTACGAATTCTAATGCAGGGGTTTGTCACCCTCGTTCAAAAAGGGGGTAGTCGTTTGGCGCCGTGTCCCCACTACAAACTACAAATTCGCCGGGTCGGGGAGAGATTTTCAGTACTTTCACGCGCCCTTCAGCGGACTTGAAATCGATTTTGTTTTGTTTCTGTAGAATCTGTAGCTTTAAATAAGTCATAACATCTTAAACGAAAAACAAAAACAAAATCGAAGCTTTTTGGAAGCTCTACATTCAGTTTTGTAGCGCCGTTCAGTTCTCTTGAAATAGATTTATGCTAGAAGCTAAAATTTTTGGAAATTGACATGCTAAAAATCATGGATCCCCTTGAGATAGATTTTTCTGAGCTTTTTTTGCACCTTAAAAGTATAAATCAACGAAAGTTCGAATTTTTCGAAGCTCTACAATGGCTGACGACGAGCATTGGGTAGCCCTCGACGCCCAACTCCCCGACGAGGAAGACTTTGATTTTGAGGAAGAAGAGGAAAAAGAATGGCAGGGTAATTAAACCTTTTAGTTTTCCAAAATATGATTTTTCAGCCCAAGTCGGCATGGGAAAGGTGAAGGCGGAGCCGATGGGTATGAGTTGCTTTTGGAAAAAAACTAAAAGATTTTTAGATGAATACTACGAGGATGACTATGAAGCTTCTTCTTCTCTCCCCGGCCCCAGCACTTCGCTGCCCCCGCTTCCGCCGAATGCTTTTAATAGTGGGTTGATCGAAAGTTATATTAACAGATTTCTCTATGAATTAGTTTTGTTTTGTTTGATTTTGTTTAGTAGAATAGCGTTTTTTTTTTGCAAAATCTGAACTTTTGCTATGGAAATTTCGTTTCTTTTCTCTCCTCAACGCGATATAATTAGCAGAACCTTTTCCAAACTTTTTTCACGATTTTCCACAACTCCTGTACATCAAAACTATTTTTTGAGTAGAAGTATCAAAAACAATATTGTCGTCTTTCTGACTAAAAATTTCCAATTTTCGGCAAAAAGCTCGAACTTCCAAGCATTTTTCTAAGGTTTTAAAAAGTTTTACGCTTGAATTATGGCTAAATTTTGTCAAAAGCAAAATTAAGATGACGTGAATAGGCATACCTCGAATTTTGGGAACATTTAGGTAAATCGAAATAGTTAAACCTGGTTTTTAGCCCACCTCTCCCGTAACGTTGCCGGCATCGCGCCGCTCTTCTCGCGAGTCGTTGGAGCCGGCCAATTTCAAGGAAACATTCCGGCTAGCCAACCCCCGGTGCGGATGCAGCCGTTGTTTTCGAATTGTGTGGGAGCTGCTCAAATTCGGGCCAGCTTGTCTCGACCGGCACAGGCAACCCAGATGGTTCGACCGAAGGAGGATCGTAAGTTTTAAAATATGTTGTTACAATTGTAATTACGCTAATTCGTTTTTCGGGTGTTACAGGCGATTTGGAGATCGAAACGAAGGAAACCAAACCGCCTACGCTTGATGACATCCTCGGGAATGTTGGTACGTATTTTTCCGGCGTAGTTTTGAGCTTCTAGAGCTTCAAAAACTGTATCTTTTATTTATTTTGCTTTTGAAGCTTATTTCTTGTAGAAATCAACTCTAAAGACTTCATTATGCAGCGTTAACGATATTTTTGAGCTTCCGAAGCGCCAGAAATCTGTTATTTCATGCATTTTTATTTTCAAAAATTTTTAATGTACGAATCGCCCCTAAGGGCTTCTTTTTACCATTTTCAACAGATTCTGCTCCATGCCCATCTACCTCCGCTGTTCCGCAAGCCACTGTTATAAAGCGGCGTGTCCCAGTTCGAGGTATAAAATCGAAATAAATAATGAATTTTTGACCCTTTTTTTAGGACTCCAGCGCCGCTCGGTTCCCTACCAGCCAGACTACGACTACGCGAAAAATCACATTCGTAAGTTTTTCTTATCAAAATGGAATTTTTTTACATTTTTTTATTTTAACGCCATACTAACTTTTTAAAAATAGTTTCAATAACGTCTTTTCAGCCGCCGACGATCCGGACCCGGTTGCACGTTGCGCCGAGCTGCTTCGCGCCAAATTTCCCGACATCCCGTTTGGCATTCCGACGCTGCGCGATGAGCTGTACGTCCAAATTTTTGATTTTTGCTTTGTTAAAAAACTGCGTTTTAAAAAAATACTTAAATTTTGTTTCAGGAAAGAAAACCGCGCCTCTGTTCTCCGAATGATGAAGGGCCCCCGGTTCTTCCGGCCCTATTTCACGCCTGGCACGCCGTCTGAGGTGAAGAAAACGTGGTACTACCATAGAACGTAAGACGCGTGATTTTTCAATTTTTAATGTTCTTTTTTTAGAAAAATGAGCCACACGCGCGAGGAATGGCAAGAGGTCATGCGCAAGAAGTAAGATTTTAATTTTATGATTTTTTAAAGTTGTTGGTACTTATTTATCTTTTTGAGTAAGATATAGATTGTTCTAAATGTATTTTTAGTGATAAAGTTTTTAAAAATTTGTATTTTGGCTTAAAAATCAATTTAGGAACGAAAACATGACGGACGAGCAGAAAAAGCACAAAGACATGAAGAAGCGCGAGTATTGGAGGCGGAAGTGAGTTTTTTTGAAGCTTGGATTTACATAATGTTCTTAGAAGAGACTCAATGGAAGCGAACAAGCCAGCGGCAGATGAGGAAAAGCCGAAGCCGAAAAAGTCACGGTTTCCGATCACCGATCCGGAGGAGCGCGAGCGGATCAACGCGAAGGCTCGTGCAAAGTATCATAGGAGGTGGTATTTAACAAATTTAACTTAATTTCATGGTTTTTACGATGTAAAATGGAATTTAAATGGATTTAAATTGTTTTAAAGCAATAAATGTTGTTTATAGACGAGAACGCCTTCTGCAAAGCCAAGGGCTCGTCCACTATCCGCCAGACTATACGGAGGGGCCGAGGAGAACGTGGGTTTTCTTGAGATTAAGATAATTTTGTTAGTAGTTTAAGATGCGTTTAAAGCATTATATTTTTCTATGATAGGATTATAGGCAATTTAAATTATATGTATTATTTTTATTATATTTTTGTATTATAAGAGGGATAAGCATTGTATTATTCTATTATTATTGAGAATTAGAATTTTTTATAATTTTAGTGTTCTATCAAAAACTTTCTAGGTACTTTGAGTTTTTTTTTTGCTAATTTCAAAGTAATTTAAACGAACCTAAGCAAATTTAATTTACCGTTTTAGAACAAGAAAAAGCAAGCCGAAGCGCCAATCCGACGATGAAGAGGAAGCCCCGATCCCGCAGCTTGATAATATTCTTTTTGAGGCCGAGGAGCAGATCAAGCTACAAGCCAAAGAGTTGGTTTTAGAACATTTATTAACATATAAAAAATTGGTTATGAAAATACTTTGTTGAAGAAAAAAATACTTCTATCTATTTTTTTTTAGAAAAGCTCTGCAGTGCGCCGCCAGGGAGAAACAACTGCTCGAGGAGAAGCGCCAGGCTCGGGCGGCTAAAAGGTGGGACTTTTGTATGTTATTGCATTTTATTTTTAGTGCTCAAAAAGATCCGGCTCCGGCAGATCAAGTCTTGATTGATGAGCAGCGCTTCTTTGCGACGATCAGGTAATTGAGACCGTTTTGAAATAATTTCTGCGTTTTCTAGAGCTACCGCTCAAATCCAGGAGCAGCACATGGTGCACACCGAGGAGGACAAATTTTACAAGGCTATAATGTAAGCGAATTTGATTTGGGAAAGGTTCTTTTTGTTAGAAATACGGGATTTTAGCTATCTATTGCTTTAATTTTTCAATTTTAATTACTTTAAAATATTTTTAAAAGTATTTTGGTAAATTTTAATTATATAATATTGAGTAACAGTGATTTTTATAGATTTTTAGTCTTTTTCTATTCCAGCGCAGCAACTGGGGAAGCGGGCGAGAATACGGCAGATGACACGGCGACTCATTTTGCTCTTGAGGTATCGAAATCATTTTAATAATATTAAAAATTGATTTTTAGGATCTTTTGCGGAACCAGGGAGGGATGCCGGACATCGAAGAATAGCCTGATGTGACCGTTAAAAATTTCTTTCATTTTTTGGAATGTTTTACGTTCATTTTTCTCTTGGCTCTGCTGTGATCTCAACATTGCTGGTCCTTCATTTTCCTGGTTAAAAAATTTAGCAGAAAATTGAAGTTTTGTTAGATATCTATTTAATTCGTTAGAAACGCTTCAGTTTTATTGATTTAACAATTCAAAGAAAATTGATTTGAAGCTTCAAACATTTTAAAACTTGGTTAGATACCTATTAAATTGGTTCGATGCATATCTGGCTTTGTAGATCCAATTTTAGCAACTTAATAAAATTGAAGCACTTTATTATAATACAAAATACAAATCCCGGGAATAAAGCTCGTTTTATCACAGTTTTTGTGGATCACAAACACACGCGCACGCGGGCTTTTCAGCGAAAGCGACTACCCTCAATTGTTTTTTGGATACCCATAGTTCGAGTTGGAAATGGAATAAAAAGTATAATATGTACGTGAAAGGGTGGTTAATATGCAAATCACAGGGATAAGGGGGAAATACCAGTAAACGCTAAAAAAAGCAAACGAAAACTAAATAAATTAAAATTAGTAGCTATTTTTTAATGGACCAGTAAGCGGAAAATCTGGACCCCGACCCCGTAAAATACATTCATGAAAATCACGCAGAACGCCACTTGGGCAACGAAAATTAGAATATTCAGAATATTGGCGAAGCTGAACAGCTTGGCCGGGACGAAAAAGTGGTAGAGGTCGCCGAGTTTTCGCGACATGTAGGTGATGGTGCCCTGGAGAGGGGGATCGGCTGAGAAGTGGATGGACACTTCCTGAAAACGCATATATCATATATCTCTCTCGCACTCTCTCTCCCTCTCTCTTTCTCTCTCAATCGTTCTCACTCTCTCTGTATCTTTCGCGGACTCTCTTTCCCCCTCTCCGCTCGCTATAGCTCTCTCTCTCTCTCTCTCTCTCTCTCTCTCTCTCTCGCTCACTCTTTCTCTCTCTCTCTTTCTCTCTCTCTCTCTCTCTCTCACCTGTGGCGTCTTCTCAGCCGTCTCCGGCAAGTACCAATAATTGACGACAACGTAGACCACGTTCATCCCCACGAACGGCACCAACACGTTCCCAGTACCGAGGTGGTTCACCGCCGTCAGCAAGCAGTTCGTCAGAATGCCGCCGAATACGTTCTAAAAGTAGAAGTAAAAAATTTTTGAAGTTCAAAGTGATGCAAAACTCCGAAAAACTGGGCTATCTACCTGTGCAATGCCAACAATCGCCGTGCCCAGAATCTTGTCATTATGCAGGAAAAGCTCAGGGACAATGGCGAAAGCGCTTTCGCCGGATATCGCTGCAGCCGAAAGGTCAAATGCGGCCAACACGGGCAGGATGATGGCGATGGGAATGCCGTGGAGTAGGGCTGAAAATAGTGCTTAATCAATCCTCGCGGATTTCTCAGGAACGCCTACATTAAAAATCCCGAAAGAGAGTCCAACTTTGATATTTTAGCTGTTGCTCCTTCTCAAGCTACTAACCTTTCTCAAATGTCGTGAAGAATATGGCCAACATCCCAAAAACGACACTGGCCATGGTGGGGATGATCAGTAGAGCTCTTCTGGAGAAATTGTCGAAACAGCCGAGTAAGGCTAGGGGAGATGATGGCCTGAAAATTGGAGTTTTAAAGGAATCACGTAGGCAGGAAACGACGACTTGACAAAGCCCGTAAGAAGTCCATGGCGAAAAAAGTGGCCCTATTGGAATTCCTTGCCTTAGAGTGGATTAGAATTCGGGATGTTATCGGCCTGTTAAATCAGAAATCTCACCCACCTGAGGCAACGACATCAACAAGGAAGCTCTCTGTGCCCGATTCGCTGTTAGGCCAACATTTTCGAAAATTTGCGTCGAGTAGGAGATCCAGAGCTGAAAGAGTAAATTTTTAAGATAGCTATGAGGTTTATGAAAAGTATTTAAACGTTACAAAAATTTCAGAAAGCCTTTCAAAATATGTTGAAACATACCCAATCATCCAAATGCACAAACGACTGCACGAAGAGGGCAATCAGGAGCGGCCTCGCAAAATAACCATCTTTTAGGCGCTGGAAAATTTGGGTGGCCCCTGGCTCCCTGGCCATTTTCATCTTCGCGTTGTTGGCGTTGAAGTCGATGTCTTCCTGAAAAATGCGATCGATAGCACTCTCTCTCTCTCTCTCTCTCTCTCTCTCGTCTCTCTTTCTCCCTATCATCTTCTCATAAGCGGCGAAATTACCAATTTCATCTCTTCAAAAATCTCGTCGACCGTCTGCCGGGCCTCTGACGAATTTTGGTAGTAACTCAACGCTTTTCGAGCCTCAATTTCTCGGTTGAGCATGAAGAGGTACCTTAAAAATGGTTTCATTTTTCCTCCGGGCTTAAGGTTCAATTTTGCGATTAAGCTATCAATTTCTTACTTACCTCGGCGACTCCGGGGCACGATACAAAATATACAAAGCTGGGATGAGGGGTAGGAGAGGTACAGCCATGGCCAGATGCCAGTGTTGAGAAGTTCCGAGTAGTTCTTCGAGTGATATCAGCATCCCTCCGAGCTCTCCCATGCACGCCCACATTGTCTGAAAAGGGAGATGAACTGGTGTAAACTTAGGCCGAGGCTTGGATTTAGGCTTAGGCTTAGGTTTGGGTTTAGGCTTACCAAGGTTGCCAAAGCTGTGCCTCGCTTTCGGAGCGGCGGGATCTCGGCCAGCATCACCGAGCCGGAGGTCTGAAAACGGTTTCTTTGAAGAAAGAAGCGTAGATGTTGACGATTAAAAAGGCATGTTCTTACTCACCTGCACAATCCCTTGACCAATCCCGTTGATGAATCGCCCAACTACTGCTGCCGTGACGCCTCCAGGGAGGTAAACAGTCAGTGCTGACAGTACAACCCCGAAGATGTCGAGCAGCGTACCGATCAAGATTGGGGTCTAAAAAGACTTTTTTGAAACTTTAGAAAAAGAGGCCTATGGGGGCTAAGCTAAGGCTAAGCCTAAGCTAATAAGGAGCGCTTTTTTTGAGTCATACGCAAATCATTTCCAAAGATAGTGCATTCGATCGAGAATTTCATTCTGAGTAACGCTATAAGGTTCATTTTTGCAGAATGGCTGTCCCCGATTTTATAAAATTAAAAAACTAAAAGCTATTTTCATAAATCCCTCGGCGCGCACCGATGGCAGGTATGGCTAGTCACCGGGACAAGAGGGGCCCAGATGGCTTCCCAACCACGATTGAAGATAGCGCAGTCGGTAGCGCGGTTGTCTTTGAAACTTTTTTTGAACTTCTTTGGGAGGTTCGATTCTTCCAAATGTAATTTTTTTTGCTTTTTTATGGTCAATTGCGTTTCCGTACATAGGGATGTGATTGTTCCGATTTTGAGTTGGCAATTGCTTCAAAGTTGATCAAAGTGAAGTCTCCAGGCCCGTGCCTTGTCACTGTTCACCGGGATTTTACTATAGTCGTGCCTGCTCATAGAGCGGATTCCATGGTATTGAAGCCAAAAAGCCATTCACCGCTATAAAAATTCAAAAAGCAAAAGAAATTACACGTGGAAGAATCGAACCTCCCAGAGAAGTTCAAAAAAGTTTCAAAGACAACTGCACTACCGACTGCGCTATCGTCAATCGTGGTTGAAAAGCCATCTGGGCCTCTCTTGTCCCGGTGGCTAGCCATACCTGCCATCGGTGCGCGCCGAGGGATGTAGGAAAACAGCGTTTTAGTTTTTTAATTTTATAAAATCGGGGACAGCCATTCTGCAAAAATGAACCTTATAGCGTTACTCAGAATGAAATTCTCGATCGAATGCACTATCTTTGGAAATGATTTGCGTATGACTCAAAAAAAGCACTCCTTATAAGCCTAGTGAAAACTCAAACTCACTCGTCTCCCAAACCGATTCGAGAAGAGGACGGAGAGAAAGCAGCCAACAGCTAGTCCGTAGATGCGGCTGGAGACCAGGAACTCCCAGGCTTTATCGGCTAAAAAATATTTTTCTCGCTCTCTCTTTCTCTCTCTCTCTCTCTCTCTCTCTCTCTGTATCCTTCTCTCTTTCTTACCTTCATCCTTATCCTTATATATTGTCAACAAAAATGGCATGGCTGCCGGGAGGAGGTTGTCGACGACCGAGTCAAGGAAGAGCTGAAGACAACTGGTTACGACATGGAAATCAGAATTACCATAAAGTGAGAGGCTGCGCCGATGGAGAGTACGACCATCGTAAGCTGTAGCGTTTCAGCACTCCGGGGGCAGGGCCGGGGGATGCATATCGACACATCGCCGGCTTTCATTTACCTGAAATAGGAACGTATGATGAAGCTCCAAACGTGATAAAGTGAGGAGCATGAACTGAAGATACAAAAGAATATAGGGGTATCGGATAATTTTTCAATGACGCTTTTTTGATCCCTGTGTCTCTTTCTCCTCTCGCACACTATGGATGTCTATGCATCTCTCGCTCGCTCTCTATCTCTCTCCTTCTCTTTTTCTAAATTAGCGAAACTTTTCGATGCTATGAATTAGAATTCAGAAAATCAGAAAAGGCGAGAGAGCGAGAGAGAGAGCGAGAGCAGAAGCACAACCAAATTTTTCAAAATCAGAGGTCACTGAAACGCGGAATAAAGCCGATTCGCCATAGACCTCAATTTTTTACAAAAATTTGTATAGCAATCCTGAACGCCTGTGACCAGCTGCCGATTTTTACAGTCGTCAAATTGCGCGTGTGGCGTGAAAGGCACGAAAAGCCACCCACCCCCTCATGGCGAGGAGCCGTGGAAATCCACGCGTCCGAAAAATGAGGAGGCGTGAATAGGCGGCGTCGACTCATTTTGTCGGCCGGGGAAATTTTGGGCACAAAAAAGTTGGTGATTGGGGTCGTGGCGGTGGGATTGAATTTTTTTGAATAGAAATTGGATCGGAGGTGGTTTGGTGGATTTTATGATATTTTATGTGAATTTAGAATTCGATGAAATTGCATGAAATTCAGTATCGGCTAATGAACTCCAAGAAAAAGCGGGCAAAAATTCGGGGCAAAGTCGAAGTGGTCAAAACGAATAGTCCGGTCGAAATTGTGATATTTTAGAAGCACGAGAAAGTATATGAATGTTATGCTCATTTAGGGAAAATCATTCATTTCGTTTTCTTGAACTCCTTGAGAAAGTTGGCCCAACTTCAAGCAGGGCAATGTACTTTCTTGGCTAAGGTCCAAGCTAGTTCCAGTGGATTTTAACATATTTTATGGAAGATCGGAAGAGGAACGGTTAGGAAAAGGATCCGTCTATGCGTCGCTACGCCTGAACTGCCTCAGAAGTTGGTATAACTCCGAGGTGTAAAAAAGCACAAGCGGAAGTGGAAACTGAAAATGATAACGCGGAGATCTTCCTCGTTCTATCAGTGTTCCACCTTCGGGGGTTCGAATCTCATTTTCGATCCAGGAACTTGATAGAGAGAGGGCGAGAGAGAGATGGAGAGAGAGAGAGAGAGAGAGAAATAGAGGGAGCGAGAGCGTCGCTAGAACAGGTGATAAGCCTACAAAAAGAAGCACAATATTATTTTCGGCAATGGATAAGGCGGAAATAGCCAAAAAGGAACGCAAGAAAACATAGCTCAAAAATGCTCATAAAAATTCATCACTTACATGGGCGAGTACGTCAGAAGGGAAAGCTACCGGTTTTCTGCTGTCGATCCGGAAATGCCAAATAAAATGTAAAATCAAAATAGCTATGCAAAAGTGGGGTAAAAAAGCAGAAATTATTAATAACGAAAACATAAAAACCAAGACGAGAAAGTTTTTCAAGCTTTGACCGAAAAGATTCCAAAAAAGCAGCGCGTCCCATTTCCACATGACTGTTTTGGGGGGCTGATTCAGCGCTATTCGCGTCAGGCGAAAAAGATGAAACAACGCAATAGAAGACGGAAAGAAAGTGTTGGGGGAGGAAAAACAGAAGAGGCTCAAAAGAGCATCAATGGGATCCGCCGGAAATGTGAATCCAAATAAGTGGATCTTCTGGACCACGTGGATTCTCAATATCAAGAAAACCGCTAAAAAATCGGACGATCTCGAATGGGCAAGCCGGCAGTGATCATTTAGGAAGCACACTCTTCATGACTTTCAGACAATCGAAAAGCTGGATGGGCGCACTAGCAGAAACAATTTGTAAAGGTCTCAAGCGGAAAAAGCGGAATTCTCAATTATACTTTAAATATACCGCCAAGCTGGCCGATGCGTTTAAAGAATTAGATCAGGATTCCTACGAAGAGAGAACTAGCAGAAACCATTTGAGGGAGTTCTCAATCAAAATCACACTCAAAAATCGACCTGGAGAGCTAACCGAGATTCTTTAGGAAATCAGAAAATACAAAAAAAACAATAGATGAACCGGCAATGCTAAACAGGTTTGAAAAATACGGCAAAAACTAGCAGAGACCATTTGCGGAATGTATCCGGCTTCAGCTAACACCCCCACTTTCCCATAAATTGTCCAACCGACGCGCCAAAAAGTGTGTAAAAGATTACGCCTGAGCGATGGGCGTGGTAGAAGAACATGCGTCGGCTGATAGCGAGCGATAAGCGCCTGGAAGGGAACGTGCCAAAAATGAAAAGTTAGCGCTTGAAAAAGTATAAAATACCTTGAATTAAGTTGTATTTAATTTAAAAATTCGCAAGAAAAATATCCACAAATTCTGACTTTCTGAATTTGAATTGAATGGAAACATTTTTGCATTTTATACATTAAACAAGTTAAATTAAACGCCAGCACAAAAAATCACATCCGCTTCCGTGCTGCGATGCAGGTGTATGATGTGGGTTTTTGGGGGTGGCTCCTGGGGTTGCCGGGTGACGATAAAAAACTGCTGGCAATCCCATAAAATTTTTGGGACGAGTTTTTCCGTGGTGAGTTCAAGCTCGGATTTGCAGAATTTAGAACAAAAACTTAAATTTTAATTAGTTGATTAAAGAACATTCAAAAGCAAAGTATGATCTTGCTAAAAAATTCCACCGGATGTCCGTCAGAGCCACAGAGTGTGATTTTTTTGAGTTGATAAGAATCAAGGGTTAACGGTGGGTTCAAAAAGGGTGCAAAATAAAACGGAGGGCAAGCAAGCTAGCGGAGACCCTTAGGGAAACAAAAAAATAACAAGCAGAACAAAATAGAGCTGCCTCGCGTGCTCTATTGAGGTCTCTCCCCTGCAAAATATGCAATTCCATATTTTGCGGGTCTCAATATGCAAAGCGAGAGAGACGCTAACCATCGCCTTGGGACGTTTGATGGCCGTGCCGCATTGGGGGGTGGGGGTGGCCGGAAAAATGGGGCCAATTTCGGCGGTCGGATGGATCCGGGAATGGTTCGACGGGGGAGCTAGCTAGCTCGAGGGGGATGGATTATGGAAATTGCATGCCTCGGAGGCACGGAAGATCAAATAGACCTCCACGATTACGTGAAGATCTGTCGGGGGTTGTAGGAGTGAAAAGTAAAGTGAAAATCCTGGCCTTTGTCTGTCTCTCTCTCGCTCCCTCTCCCTCTTTCACTCTCTCTCGCTCTCTCTCACACTCACTCCCTCTCTCTTTCTCTCTCTCGCTCTCTCTCTCTACGGCCTTATGGCTTATCAGAAAAAGCCAAAGTATTCACTTTCGCTTAAGAATTTCGCGTCACACACAAGTTTGCTTAATCAGATAAGAAGCGAGAGAAAGAGATAGAGAGAGAGAGTGACAGAAAAAGAACGATAGCGAACTGCCAACGATTCCTGAGGAAACTGCCAATACCAGAGAAACCAAACTCAAAATAAACACCCATGAGCATCAGCTGATCCTCCTGGTCGGAGTGAGAGTAGATATCGAGGAAAAGGAAGGAACAACCTGCCATAAAGGTCATCTCATTCAGGTTCCAAAGCGGGATGTCTTTCGTATGGTGAGGGGAGCATGATGCCGAACTTGATGGGATACGAGGAGGGGATTGGGTGTCAATTTATGACAACCAAGAAGAGGGGTCATGCTCCGAGCCTGAGCTAGCCAAGGTTTTTAAGGAATTTTAAATAGGTTTTTGAATATTTAGCGGCGATCATTAGGGATGAATTTATTCAGAATGAGCAAGAGCTTTAGAAATCGTCTCTTCTCCCAAGCGCTAGTTTTCGATCCCCCTGAAGCGAACATCTGATGAGCACGGAAACGCACGCGAGGATCAAAAACCTAGCTAGGCTGAGCATGAGCAACGTACGAACACCTAGATGCTAATCTTGTGCAGACTGCTCGCCTAAGCTCCCAGCTGTTGCAGCTCAAACTCTTTAGTGTCTGGAGCGAAAATCCCCCACAAGGGAGCGTTCAAAAAGTCGCCGCCTGGGCTTGAGGAGCGCCAGCCTTTTAGGGCAGTGCAAGCCTAGGCTCAGGGCTTAGGTTTAAGCTTAGGCTTAGGCTTAGGCTTAGGCTTAGGCTTAGGCTTGGCTTAGGTTAGGCTTAGGCTTGGAGGCTTGAGGCAGGCTTAGGCTTGGAGGCTTGAGGCTTAGGCTTAGGCTTAGGCTTAGGCTTAGGTTAGGCTTAGGCTTAGGCTTAGGCTTAGGCTTAGGCTTAGGCTTAGGCTTAGGCTTAGGCTTAGGCTTGAACTTATTTTTTGATGTATCGATCCAAAGTATCCCTTCAAACGCACGTTCAAAAAGTCACCGCCTTGGCCTTCAGGAGCACGAGCGTTTTTTTGAGGGAGCAGAGTCTTAAGCCGTTGGCACCACTCGTTTGCTGGCTGCAGGAAAGGCGATGGGAGAAGCCGATAAACGGGAGGCTCATCGACGAAGGAATAAACACGTGCGAATCGGGTGCCACATGCCTGGGAATACACGGCAGGGCAGGGGCACGTCGGCAATTTCCGGGGGCGGGGGGGCTTCTGCATTTTGGGAATGCATTTTGGAGGAGGTTCGAGGGCAAAAATTTGGGCTCTTTGGAGCAGCGTCTTAGGCTGAGCTTAAGCTTGGTGCATGCTTAGGCTGTACCTTAGGCTTAGGTTAGGCAAAAGCTCAGGCTCAGATTTGGGCTTAGGCTCAGCTTAGACTTGGGCATAAGCTTACGTACTTGTCAAAACACTGCTAACATCTGGGTCTCTCCCCACTACCAGCTGCCCGCTAAATTGGCCACCGTTAAATCGGGCCCGGTGAACAACAAACGAGGGGTCGAATGGGAGGTTCTCATTAGGTCGAGAGAGGAAAAGCTCGGAAGTTGTAACTTTTTAGTACAATTTGAGCCAGCGAGAGAGAGAGGGCGAGAGAGAGGGCGAGAGAGAGGATGAGAGAGTGAGAGAGAGAGAGAGAGTGAGAGAGCGGTCGAGCGAGAGATAAATAAAGGTATAGAGAGCCAGCGATAGAAAGGAGGTCCGAGAAAATCTTCTAAATTCTCTAAAACAGGCTGTTCGCAATAAAACGCAAGTGGTAGCCAGGCGGAAAATGACCTCGCCGGCGTTCCGGGAGGCCATAAAATTGCGAACACATTCCAATTTATGCAGCCGGCTCGTTGCGCTGAACGGGGGTGTTAAAATGGAATACCGGGAATTCTTTGGGACTTACTATTGCATCGGCTTAAGCTTAGGCTTCGGCTTCGGCTTAGGCCAACGCTTAGACCTAAGCTAAGGTCAAAGCCTCGGCTTGGGATTAGGCTTAAGCTTGGGATTAAGCTTAGGTTTCAGACTTAGGCTTAGGCTTAGGCTTAGGTTTTAGCTTGGCCTGGGCGTAGGCTTAAGCTTAGGCCTCGGCTTAGGCTTGTGTTTCAGTTTTAGGAACGATAGCAATAATTATAATCCATAATTTCAAATTTTCTGAATCGGAACATTAGTTTGTTCGAGCCGCCGCCATCCTTTCATGGCCCTGGGACCTGGTGCAGCTGCTCAAACACCAGCTTCGATTGAGTGGAATGTCAAAAATTCCGGGGGTTTCCGGGGCCGGGAAATCCGCGTGTCGTTTTCAATAAATGTTTGATCAATTCGGGGAGGGGTTCAACCACAAGGCGCCCCCGCGAAAAAGCCCAATTTAATAGCGTAGGTACGGATTAGTGCGGGGTCGAGCCAAGGGGGGACTCACTGATCGTTATGGTTCCGTTTTTGCGGGGGAAGCCGGAATTTCGGTAATGGTATTTTTATTGTTATTGAAAGGTAGGGAAATAGCAGCCCAGACGATCCCAAATCATCTTTGCAGGTTTGCCTTTAAGGTTTGCCTTAGGCTTAGGCTTAGGCTTAGGCTTAGGCTTAGGCTTAGGCTTAGGCTTAGGCTTAGATTAGGCTTAGGCTAAGGCCTAACTTCGAAAAATACGCTAAACAGCAAGAAGAACAACAAAAAAAGTATGAAAAGATATTAAATATAAAAATTTACAAAAATTAACCCAAAAATGCTCGCCATTCCTAAAACTGAAGCCAGACTGCCGCGATCTCCCTGTCGGATCTGCCGTCTGGCTTGCTCGAGCTTCTACTTCCCCGATTTCTCGCGGCGATAATTGTTTTTGAAGGTCCCGCCTGAGCACGAGCTTTTGCACTGTTTTCAGACGTGTATTCAAAGTGCAAAAGTGTGAATAGAACATTTATTACAACCAAAAAGGCAAAAAATTTTATTCCACGAGATCAACGAGTACCAAGTTATAATCTGCATAAAATCCACTAAAAAATGGGGATGAATTCTTTCCTAAAAAGCAGACCACGAGAAAAATAGATACAAAATCAAGAAGGAAAAAGCTAGTTAAGCCGCTCAGTAAAAGATGTAATCATAGAAAAATTTGTAAAAAATGAAAATGTAACAAAAAAACTATGTCAATTTTTCCTTAAAAGTTACACAAATCTACCAGCAATCAAGATGGCCGTAAGGAAAAATGGCAGCAGAGAAAAATTTGTAGCTGCCGAATTGTGCAAAAGAATTTTAAATTCTTTTCTCGTAATCGGTTTCGCAAGAGTACTATTGGCGGTTAGTCATAAGGAGCTAAAAACGGTGTCTTCTGATGGGAGGAAGGTGATGCCCTCGAATTTCGTTAAGCTTGGGAATATGCTCTCTTCGAGGAGGACTTGGCCGTGGATGTCGAACAGCTAAAAAAAGGTCTATTAAAGGTTTTAATAAGCACCAGGGTTGAAAAGCCGCTTCGCGACTTTTCAACCCTGGCCCCGTCCAACCCAATGAAAGTTTACACTTTGCATAATTCGGCAAGACCCACGCTGAAAAAAAGTGAAAAATGCGCCCTCTGCTACCTTATATAGGCTCACCGCCATTTCCGGTATATGCTAATTGATTCCTAACAAAGAGGGTGTCGGATTTTTCAACAAAAACTAAAATTTAATGTCGAAAATAGACGAATTTGATAAATCTGATGTGTGTGCAGTCATCTCCTGGACATTATGCACCTAATGACGTATCAAACATACCCCTAACTACTCTCCTTCTTGAGATACGGCTGGAACAACCTGACGGAAGTTGCATGCAAAGTGTCATACACACACACACAAACACTATTTTTTTTATATATAGTAGGATAAGCCTAAGCTAAGCCTAAGCTAAGCCTAAGCCAAACCGAAATTTAAGCCTTCGAAGCCACTTACCATTAAAAATGAAGTCGACGGGTACCCGGCCCGTTCAAACGTCTTTATCGCCACGATGAGGTTGTCATTGGTGCCTAAAAGTTTAGGTTTCATCAAAAGTACGCTACAATACCCGGTACGAAGGCTAGACTCGAAAAACCGAGCTCCAACTTCAACGGCCCAATCTCGGTGATGGTGATATCGCAGAAGCAGTCCGATGTGGTGAGTAGGAGATTGGAGCCTAAACTTTGTAGATATTGCTGAAGCTTGGGCCTAGGCTTAGCTAGCTTAGCTTACTTACCCTGCATGTTGTCAAAGCTATTTTTCATCACTGGAGCTCGGGATACCTGCCTGGGCAGGAAAAACCATCGTTTGTGAACCTTAAATATATTTGCATAAGGCAAAGGAATTTGTCGACCTCGCTCCAAAGCACAGCCTCGTGGATGACGTAGCCAGGATAGTCGATCTAAAAATCCCCCGAATTAATCAGGATGCTTAGGCTTAGGCATAGGCTTGGGCTTGGGCTTAGGCTTAGGCTTAGGCTTACAAGGGAAGTCGGCCCACGAGAAATCGACCCGAGACATAGTTGATCTGATAGAATCGGACACGGGGAATTCCGAGTCTGTAATCAGAATTTGCTAAATAAAACGGAGAAAAAAGTTATGAAGCATCAAAGTTGGCCAAATCGCCAAAAACGGTACCTAAAGGCCCGTAAAAACCGGCGGAACGGAATTGAGGAGAAAAGAATTAGTGCATCTTGTTCAGCAGAAAAAGCGCTTTCGAATGAGCTGTAATACGTAGCATTTGCAAACAATTCACTGAAAAAAAGTTTTTTTTTGGATTCACGGGCAAGGGTATGGCCTGTCAAGTTCATAGAAGAGATTTTCGCGAAATCATCGTAAACTTGGAGTAAGATAGCTCATTCGAAAGCGCTTTTTCTGCTGAACAAGATGCACTAATGGGTTGTGGCAAAATTTCATTCCTTGGGCCTGTACAAGCCCATAAAAGTCCGAATTTGGGCGATTTTACCAACTTTGAAGCTTCATAACTTTTTTCTCCGTTTTATTTAGCAAATTCTGATTACAGATTCGGAATCCCCGTGTCCGATTCTATCAGATCCACTATGTTTCCTGTCGATTTCTCGTGGGCCGGTCGTGCACTTCCCTTGTTAGGCTTAGGCTTAGGCTGAGGCTTAGGCATCGCTTAGGTTTAGGGACTTTGATGACGTACCTCCAACTTGCTCCTCAATTTCTGGTAGTTTTCGGTCCAATTCAAGTGGAAGACGTTACCGTAGGTGGTGATTTTCTGTATTTGTAGTTTATGTTTCTGGCACTTTAATTATAGTTAATACACCTTAAAAGCCAAAATTAAGAAAAGATAGTTTTCAAAAAATTACCTTTACAAACATGCGATTATAATTCTTAATGCTTCCATCGTCATTTAGCCACTCTGTGCCATGTGATCCCGCATAAATCGCGTTTCCTTTGACGGTCATCCACTCGGTTTTGAAGGCTAAAAAAGTAGTTAGCGAGAGAGAGAGCGAGAGAGAGAGAGAGAGAGAGAGAGAGAGAGAAATTCTACACTTACCGTGTTCACTCTGCCCATCCCCATCTCCAAGATATACCCAGGGAACTGCGGCGTCGTTTTTCAGCCTAAACTTTACGATTTTGATTTTCCATTAAACTTTTAAAATTTAATTTTATAAAACTCTACAAAACCTACTTATAAACAATTCCCGTCTTGTCATCCGGCGCCAAATATTCGCCCTTAAACTGGATCAACTCGCTCAGTTCCATCCCTCTATCTTTCACGTTCAAATGTGTGGAGTAATTTTTGGAACCAAGCCACTCGACGCTTGCCATACCGTCCTAAATGATACTTTAAGTACATGTATAAATTAATGTAATCTACAAAATAAAATTTATTAAAATGTATTCTTACCAACCTGAAAAATCAACCTTCCGGCCTGGCATTCCGACTCGTAGGTGTTCGATTTTGTGCGAGAGCCCTGAATAATATTCGAGTGAGGAATAGCTTAATCATAGGTTTTAGCTTAAGGTGAAGCTTGGGATACGGCCGAGCTTAGGCTTAGGCATAGGCTTGGGCTTAGGCTTAGGCTTAGGCGTAGGCTTAGGTTAGGCTTAGGTTTGAGATTTATCTACCTTGTCCGCATCACTACAAGCCACAAACTTGGCATCGGCGTTAAATTTCGGAACTTTAACTTGGTTTTGCCGGCTCGCCGTCGGAATTAGAGGAGATCTTCCTAAAATGGTGATACTTTGCATTTACTCCAATTTAACTTACGAATAACTGACGCTGACGTTGCAGAATAAAGTAGAATCAATACGGTAAGTATCCGTCGCATTCCAGTAAGCCTTAAATCGTCTTTATTTGCGTAGACGGATTACAACTTACTCTACTCTGATACGGATGGAGCCAACCCGAAGTGATAAAACCGTTCTAACTTCAGAAAGAAGCCCCCACTCCCTTGTTTCAGCTGTTTTATGAGCCGGCCGTAGGCGCTGAAATATGTGGGAGTTTTCTCTTTATGGATTGATGACGGCGATACAAATAGGAATAAGCAGTAAAATTAAGAATTCGCGAATATCTAAAGGTTTAGGTTTTCAGGAGCGATTTTGTGTCTCACGAAGAGCGTGTAAAGCCGAAAAACAAAAATGAAAATACCAGAACTCGAGGCAGATTTCGAAATATAGGTGGTTGAGTAGTAAAACGTAAAAAATGGGTTTGAGAATTCCTTATAATACGCAGCAAACCTTTAAAGGTATTAAATCCAGAAGAATCTAAACCGGACGTTAAAAGAAAACTGATTTGGTCGACCGGAGGTGGTCCCAGCTTGGATCAGGCAGCGGGGCAACAAGGAAAAATTTCTTTATTACTGTACCCCGCCGTCTCCCCGGTGCATTCGCTCAAGATGTTTTTCTATGTTTCCTCCCAGATCTATCGGGTTTGAAATATTCAGGATTGAACCAAAATTTCCGAATTTTTACGCTGCTAAAAAGCGCGTGGCCTTTGCGGCTCGAGCTTTGAGGAAGCAGAACTAGAAAAAGCGACAGGAATATTAGATGCCGAATTCTGGAGCGCTCGGAATCCCTGCGGAAAGCAAACGGCTGGAAGGTCGGGGCGTTCTCACATATTCATAAAAAAGTGGCGTCCCAAGGGAGTCTGAGGGGATTTTGGAGTTTTGAGCCCCAGCTCCAAGGGCCGTAAGAAGTAATAAACAACAAAAAAACGAGACGGGGAAGAGCTAGGTTTCAAAGACGAAAGCGTAAGAAGCAATCTTGTGGGATTACCGCTTCCGGTTCGGGTCGTTAAAAAAGTCGTAGAATGCTTAAAGAAAACAGCTATCTACTAAGAAGCGTATGGTAAAATTAGGGTAATATAAAAATGACGGTATTATAAAACCATAGCTCAAAATTGCGGAAGTCAATACAATACAAAATTAAAAATGGCAAATAGAAAGCAGTACGATAGCCCCAAAATGACAAAAATCATAACGCTGGGCAGGTAAACTAACGATTTAAAAATGTAGGATTTAAATTTTGTGTAGAGAAGTACCAAAAATACGCCCCAGCCGACTCGCCCCAGCCCTGACCAGCTGTCCTTTTTCGGGAACGACTCACCGAACCATGATAATCGGATCGTCAAACACCACCAATTTTGCGAACTATCTCTGTAAAAAGAAGGGCACGTTCCGCCTTGGGAGAGGGAGAAAGAGAGGGAGAGACAGAGAGAGAGAGAGAGAGAGAGAGAGAGAGAGAGAGAGAGAGAGAGAGAAAGAGGGGGAGAGAGAGAGGGAGAGAGCTAGGGAAACCACTATGCCTTGGCGGAGCTGATACAGGCCTGGGAATTTGGCGGGCCGGCCCGGGCCGGGCCGGGCCAGGGCCGAGATTTTCGGGATTTTAGGCTGGCGGGCCCGGCCCGGGCGACCGTCACATATGGAGGGCCGGCCCGGGCCGGCCCGGGCCGGCCCGCCACCTTGCCAATAAGTTATATTGAGCTTAAATGTGGTAATTTACTTACATTATAAGTTTTCCTTTTTGATATTCAACTTAAATCATCTGTTTAAACAGTTAAAAGTAAAAAAATCCGAGTTTTGGCTTAATTTTGATTTATCAGGAAAACGACCCGGGTTCGATCCCGGCTGATATAGTCGGAAAGGTGATCCGTGGGAATGTGGATACATCCAAAAAGAACAGAACCATCTGGGGTTCAACGAGTCCCACTCGCTGACCGAGGGTTAGATGTCCTCGACAAAAGTCGTCTCTCTTTGCCTGCTCACTTGCTCTCACTGTTCTCTCTTTCTCTCTCTCTCTCTCTCTCTCTCTCTCTCTCTCTCTCTCCAGTCTAGCGACCCAGTTTTTAGTGCAAAAACGTAACCGTGTTTTTATTTTGGCTCGGCGAGCGGGCTAGCTGAGCGAGTGAGTGAGGTGGTCGGGTGTTGCGACAGCATCCCTTGCTGTGAGAGCTACCCTAAAAAGTACTAAACTGTCCAAACCATGAAAGAGTATGGTGAAGTCATCGAAATGGCTTTCTAAAAACGTCATCTGGTGTATTTCGGACTGCCTATAGGGTTTCAAAATCATCCCAAGTCAGGTCTATGGTGTCTAAAAAATTTCCCAGATTGCTACGGCATTAAAATCATCTTCCTAAGGCTTTTAAAGATATCGGGAAGCGTCAAGGATGTGAATTACAACCGGATGCGTTTAGCAGACCCCGCACTTAAATATTTATTTGAGCAAAACCTTGAGCCGTCCTACTTTCAAAACCGTATCCCAGAGCTGCCTCTCCAGCGAGGAGCAGGACCTCTCGTTGGGATGCAAATTAGTGCACCTTGCAACAACTTGCCCCACCGACCGTACCCTCCCCCAGCCCCAGCCCCCATTCCCTGGGCTAATAGCCAGCAGCTAGAAGCCAGAAAAGGCAAGAGCATAACGTAAACTATCAGCTGGCTACCAACTTTTTATAATGCCAGATGAGTTGTCGACGCTGGCCGATGAATTAGTGAGAGGGTCGGTTTTTTGGGGTTTTTGAAGAGCAAATATCGAAAAATCTGTAAAAAAATCCTAAATTTAAGTTATCTGACGTACCGCGGACTCGCTACTACGTTAAATGCCTACGAACAAGAACTGAAAACGGAAAAGCAGGGCAAGATTTATGTAAGTTTATTATTTTTTAGGGTATTGGCGAGGCTGTCACTTGGGGTATAATGCCCTGGGGGTATGATTACCTAGCCCCAGGGCAGAAAAGTGATACCTAGGCGAAAGATCTTTATCGAGACAGCTAAAAAAGCATAAGTTTAGTGTACTTTACTACAATTTAACTTAAAAACTACGAGATAAAGCTAAAAACGGGCTAAAGAATCTCCGTCTAAGAAAAATTAAACTTTTCTGCTTGCAAGGAATTCTAATAACGAAAAATAAGACTAAAACGAAGAAATACAAACTACAAAATCAAGGCAAAAACAACCTAAAAAGGGAAAAAGTAATTTTCCAGGTCGAACGAGTCGTCGAAGAAATAACGCAATCCATCGAAAAGCACGATATCGACTCGCTAAAGAAAATTTGGAGCAACTTTAATGAAAGGACTTTTAATCAACTTTCTGGGGTAAGCAATAGTGAAAATTTAACGTGTTTTTAGCATCAGAAAGCGCCTAAAAATGTAATTTAATTGCAGGAAGAGAGCCGGATAGCGACCCAACACGAAAATGACGCCTTCAAACTCTACATCGTCAAATGTATACAGAAAAACGAGAAACAAAAGTATTACCATGCTATACAGAGTTTTATTCGAAAATTAATGTTTAGATGTGTGGAATTTTTCACGAAAATGGCGAGTATGACGGTGGGGAATCCTACGTGGAGTGAGTGGTTTGGTGGGTTTTTGTATTTTAGAGTTGTAAAATAATAGTAAATTTTAAACAAATAAAACCAATAAAAAATTAGCAAGACTGGAGATTGCTAAAACGCTATAAAAAGTATAAAAAGAACTTTAAAAACCTTAAAAATGCAAATTTAGCAATCCCCTATATGGCCAGCGACCCGAAAGACCGGGAGCCCTTCAAAAAGTACTTCTCCAAGCAATGGCAAGAGATTTTCCTGATATCGATGCACAACTTTTTGTCGATAACTTTACAGGTTGGCTAAAAAAATATATCCATAAAATTCATTTTTGTTTCCAAATATAAAAA